AACAAGGTACTGGCTTATACCAGGCGAGGGAGGTGCCAAATTCAGCTATGATAAACTATCAGTGGTAATCACGGGGACTTTGTAAAAAATTACATTGTCTGAACTGAACTCTAACACTCTCGTGCTCGTCATCACAAAATGGGCATTATTTTTCCAATGTTTTCAGCACGTTGTGAAAAATCTGGTAATGTAATTAATTGTTGAAAAGGGAAACTGGCACATACTGTCTGTTTGGTACGATTAAATGTGAGCGTCATAATAATCATCCAAACATCTACAGTTTCTTTTCAACCAAATTTAGTCCATTTAATGCCAGTTTCCTTAAATCTGTGCTTATTTTCTTTTCACTTCACTCTTTGTGTTGGTAAATTTCTCCTCTTTCACTCTGCCTCCTTATTCACTCACTGGCTTCCATCAATCACCTGAAAATGGGACTTCTGGAAGTCCTTGACTTTCACTTGATAAGTGCTCTGATAGGGAGCTGTCAGTCACACAGTGGGAAGGAAAACAGTAGCCCTCAGAAAGCCCAACCCCAGTTCTGATGTTTTCCAAATGAAATGGCGACCAAACATATCAAGTATTCAATGTTAGTATTGGAGCAGAAAAGATATATATATATATATATATATATATATATATATATATATATATATATATATATTTTTGTGTTTGTTTATATATACTTATGTACAGATAATTCAGTTTAATTATGGACTTTAATTACTGGACTTGATAAAGCACTGTAGGAGTGCAAGTTATTTAGAAATCATATACTTCAGTGGCCTGTAATGACTAAATAATTTCTGTTATTGTTCCTATTCTCTGAACAGTCAGGTTTTTTAAACCCATGATTGTCTTTTTTATGTGCTTTGACATGTCTAGAGTGACATTCAGAGAGATGAAGAGCTCTTATGTGCAGTTCTGGGAAGGCCTCCTCACCGCTGTTTTGGTTTAACCCAAATGGAAAATTAAATGTCCGAAGAGAGCAGAAAGAGTTGTGTGGAGTCTTTACAAACAATGCTTTTGCTACTTTTGTTAGAAATGATCTGACTGGATGACAAAAAACCATCAGAATTCAAATGCTACCTTTGGCATAAGCCAACAAATCATCCTGATGTTCAGCCCTTCATATCAGCACCCCAGACTCACCGTTCTTTTGACCCAGTGTGACACTGTGACCTGAATAGTAGCTATACAGAGATACTGGTTTAGTTTAGCACCTTTACTAAAAACTATTTTGGTGAAAAACTGTGACGGAAGTACATAATTTCTGTATTTATAGATTTTTGGACAGCTATTGAGAAGGAAATTTCCATCTGCTTACGCAGAAAATCTGATCACACAGCAGCACATGCACTGCAAAAGTGTCTGGCAATGTAGTAACCTTGTACTTATTTGTAACTAACTGGATTCGTGAATAAACTAAACCCAAAATAAGTCCTTAAAAGATAACATTTAATTGTAATTGTGATGGGATATTCCACAAAACAGAACTCATAACCGGTAAAATAGGCGAATTACACTAATATACCAGAGTGATGCATGAGTTTTAATAGTTGTGATGTCAGCATCTGACAAACAGAGCGGCAGACCGCAGCAAACTACCAATCCAGCCAAGTTCCCTGACAGTGTGACGACCACTCAGTGTAAAATGAAGTAAACGAATAAGGACATGATCAGACTGAATCAGTGTTTACCAAATGCCAATATTGTTTAACCTCAATTAACCCGACTGATTCCACTTTGTCATGATTTAACATAAAAGAAGTCAAACTGGAATGGTATGTGTAAGAGCCTGAAGTCATGTGAAGTATACTCTGCAGGTTGTGGAAGAACTTTGGCCCAATTTTCTTCCATATGCTGCTCCAGTTCATCGAGGCTTCCAGACATTCATTCCCTCACAACTTCCCGCCACAGCATTTCAAATCAAGTTGACGTCTTGGACTTTGACTGTAACACATTGTTTTCATTTTCTGACACTTCGTCATAGATGGAAAAACAATCCCAAATCATCAACCCTCCACCGATGTGCTCGAAAGTCGATAAGGCACTTCTGTCAAAAGGACGTATTTTGTCTTCTCCAAAATTGGAGGTCTGCATCTTTTCCAAACATTCTTACTTTGGTCTCATCTGTCTGTCTAGAGCAGTGTTTTCCAATCCTGGTCCTCAAGGCACATTACCGCGCATGTTCCAGATGCGTCCCTGCTGTAATACACCTGACAGAGATGATTGCAGGTCAGTAAGTCCTGTTGCCTTATTGTTTTAGAAAGAAGAGACTTTCTCCTTCAATCCTTACAAGCAGTCAAACTGGTTCAGCATTTTCCTAACTTGCTGCATTGAATTTTAACATTCAGCCACTAACACCCATAAGAGATGAAGACCTAGAGTTGTTGTTTTTTACGCTGCATTTGTTTGAGATGAGGTTGCTCGGACCACAACTAGGAAGGTTGTCAACTGTGCAAAATCTTTTGCACTTGTGAATAATCTTTCTTTCTGTAAAATTATGAATGCTAAACTTTAAACCTGTGGAACCACAAAGGATGTACTTAGTTTTGGACAGAGGCTATGTTGTTTTCACTTCATTTCTCTACATAATGACATTGATGTATTTTTCACACCTCAGGACAGATTTTAAACAAATGTTGAAATTGGTTAAGAACAGAGCATATTTATGATGGCTTGATACATACGAACTTGAAATTGAGAGATAGTACATCTCATTTGTTTTTGTTGTTTTATATAACTGTAACTTGCAATGTAAAAGACAACAAACTTAAGTCAGAACTCTGGCTGAGATGTGAATAATTTTGTCATTTCAGCGTGGCATCGCCCAATTTAGGCGGTTCCAAGAGGCTACGTAAACCTTAAAACAATATTTAGAGCATACGATTTTAATTTATGCATCTTTATGAGCTGGTGGAGTGTTTTGGCTATTTAATAAGTGCTACACGCCGGAAGTGCAGCCAGACGTTCTGGTGTAACTATCGCAGCGCGTGAATGAATTTGATATGGCTCGTAAAGTAGGATTTGGGACTCACATCAGCAGATTCGCGTGTAGTAGTGTTTACTGACTTGTGTGTCTGTGCTAAGGAAAAATAATATTTTTAAAAAATGTGTCTACTGATGGAATTAGTTTTGCTCCAAATATACTGGACTGAGTGATATTAGATTTTAAAATATTAGAGCAGAGCTTTTATATTTTGTGACTTGTATGGAATCTGTGAAGGGGTGCCTGTGAGTGACGAAGAAATATTCGCAAGTACTTTTTTTCATGTGGACAAAACTATAAGTGTAAGATTTTTTTAAGTGTGACTCAAATAATACAACTTTTGTTTACTTAAAAATTGGAAGAGGTGTAACTGCTTTGTTGTATTTGTGAAAGATTACATACTAATCCCCTTGGATTTTTCTCTCTAACTTGAACTTCACAGTTACACAACGTTTGTAACAAAAAACAAAAAACAAAAAAAAACACCTCCATGCATGTCATTCTGAGCTGAATCTGACCGACAAACTTTGGAGCTCAACAGGATTTAAAGCGTCCCGGTAAAATCGAATTACCGTCATGTTTTAAACGAATAAAACCGGTTCGTCGTTGAAATGAGTGTTATCGATTATGCAGAAGATAGATGGTAAACACCAGCTGATTGTCTTATACTGCATGATTGCATTTCATATCCCTCCTGTCCTACGTCTGAACCGAGGGCTCCACGTCCGTGCACCCATTGGCTACCGGCGGCATTAAAATTTGATGTTACTCAGTAGGCCAATGAGAAGGTTTCAGACGGTATCAAATATTAATATGTAAGTACCCCCAGCGTTAAGTAATGAAGTCCCAGCGGCGTTCATTGGCAAGAGAAAATCAATGAGGCTTTCGGTTTAATTTTTCATTTAATTGTTTGGCTTTTCAGTGGGCTGCTGCACGTTATTTATGATCAACTGTTCACAGTATTAATATCTCCTTCGATATAACGAAGTTGCGAAAACAACCGCAGATCAGCATTCCGTGACGCGTTTGAAATCTTACCATTTTATTTATTTTATTTTTTTTCTGAACAGATCCCAGGGAGGTTTGGGTTCGGAGAAAATAGAAGGAAAAGAGGGAAAAAAGACGAAAACAAAGAAAATCCACGAGGAGTGGATCGGTGTTTGCAGCCGTGTCATCCCTCTAAACATGAATTAATAATAGCGTCACATCTCCAGCAATAAGGCGCATTAGGAGCCGCTCATTTTTCATCTATACGCAGTCTGGATCATTTCAGCTAAATTGGCCGTTTTATTATAAAGTAAAAGTTTTTTTTTTATATGAACCAAAGTCAAAATTGCTTAAAATGCACTGTTTTAGTGCATTTAGCTTTATTATTTCTTTAATGGCAGTATAGGCTCCTGTTTTTGGTTTTAACTTAACAATTGCGTTGTAATTATTAATTACACACTTTGAAGCTGCAATTAATGTGAATCAGTATGCAAATGTCATTATTTTTATATATTGGAACATGTCTCTTTAGAAAATGACAACAACAAAAAAATCGCAGCTTAGAAAAAAATTACTCTCAGAGATTAATTCGGCATATTTTTTCCGTTCAGTTTTGTAAAATCTTATAAACAATTTATTTATTTATTTATTTATTTATTTATTTATTTATTCATGTGTTCGTGTGAGGCAGGGAGGGGGGCATTTGTTTTGGGGAATAATGGGATCTGCATATGCTGATGCTGCCCAAATATAGCTAAATCTTAAAATACTCTAACCATAAAAATCTAATCCGTACATGTTCATTTGTCTGAGGGTTGGAATTTGCAGAAGCAGAAAGTGCTTAGAAAAAGCAAAAATGTTAGAAAATGAACTTTACAGATTGTCCACCCGATGAAAAGAAAAGAAAAGAAAAGAAAAGATAATCTTAAAAGATAATAAAATGACAGATTCTCGACAGATGTGAGGAAAATAGTAGCATTAAAAAAATAAAATGGGCCTTGTGTATGAGGGGGTGGGGGTGACTTGGGGAGTGTATCGACTTAAGGCTGAGAAGCTCTCTCTGAGTTTGCAGGCCGTGCAGGACGTCGTGCTGTCTCCTTGGCAACTTGATTGATGGCCCCGCACAGCAGAGGGTTGGGGGAGGGAGGGAAGGGGTACAGGGGAGCCCACAGAAAGACGCGCGCGGCGTTCCTCGCAGCCAGATAACGAGCAGCAGGTCCAGCGAGAAGCAGCGCGTGGGCCACGGGAGCCGACGGGAGCGCATCGAGCGCCATGGATCACATCGGGATCCTGGGGGCGCATCTGCAGCAGCACGCGCACGTGGAGCCCATCAGCTTCGGCATCGACCAGATCCTGAGCAACGTGGAGCAGAGCTGCATGCTGGGCTCGAGGATGCCCGAGCCGGACTACGGTCACCCAGTGTACAACGGCGGCGCCGGGGGAGTGGGAGGCTTCGCGTGCGGCGGTGGCGGCGGCGGCGGCGGATACAACAGCACCGCCGGATCTTGTGGGATGGCGTCTCTCGGGGGAGCTTATCACATGAACATGAGCGTGAACATGAACGGGACTAACATGAACTCTTCCGGGGTCATCCGCGTCCCCGCGCACCGGCCTCCTCTCAGCGGCGGCTCCACGGTGCCGCCTCCCGCTAGCGGCGGTGTCGGCAACCTGAGCGCGCTCACCTTCCCGTGGATGGAGAGCAACCGACGCTACACCAAAGACAGGTTCACAGGTATTTATTATTATTATTATTATTATTATTATTATTATTATTATTATTATTATTATTATTATAAAGTAGACTTTAGGACAATTTGAAGCCTGGCTGTTGCCATTACAGGCCCTCATGCAAAGCAACTATATTTTGTTTTGTTTTTTTCGTTTAGCAAAATAAGAATTTGTGAAATAATAACTTTTTCATCATGTTAAAGCAATCTCGCACATTTTTAGAATATCTTATACTACGAAATATTTACAGATCTAAATATTTTTAATTAATGATCACATAAGATGCGGTCGCTGCTTCCTCTTGGAGCTGTCTCTTTGGTCCCACTGCTCTTTCTGCCATCCTGTTGCTGCTTTTGTTCTTCTCTCTCTGTGCACCAGTGGAGCTCCCGGATCAACGGCGCTGAGGCTGTCATGGTTTTTAATGTCTTGTAAATGTATCAAAGTAAGAAAAAGACATCAGTAGGAGAATAGAAAATCATTGCAACCACAACAACATACGAATAAAACAGACTTTAACCGATAGAGTCTGTTAAAGTCTCTGAAAACCCTAAATGTTTTCAAACATTTAAGGTTTGATTAAAGTTCTCACGTGAACTTTAATCGATATTTTTCATTAGAAATAATATTTTCTATTTGAAAGTCTTTTAAGTTTATATATATATATATATATATATATATATA